TAGTAAATTTTTGATCTTGAGACATGTGTAATATTATCATTATTTAATTTAGTTTTTTTTTTTGCTGCAAAATGATTTTTTTGTATTGCTATCATTAATATCCCCTGCGCATTTGTTTACTCTGTATGTAGAAATGGCTGCTAAAACAGTGGTGGCAGACTTAACTAAGGGAGAGAAATTGGATGGCGACAATTATGATATATGGCACCGTAAGATCCAATACCTCCTCAATGAGCAAGAAGTGCTGACCACACTTGAACAAGTGATGGTTGAGCCAGAGCAGGGCAATACAACTCAACATCGTCGTGATCTTGAAGCCTTTCAGACTTGGCGTAACAAAGATCGGTGTGCGCGCTTTACTATGTTGAGCAGCATGCACAACGACTTGATTAGTGAGTTTGATCATTGCCCGACTGCATTTGAGATGTGGGAAGCTCTCAAGCAAAAGTTTGGTATTACCTCTTTGGCAAAGCTACGTGGGCTGACTATGAAGTTTGACTCATATCAGAAAAGGGCGCATCACTCGATGAAGCAGCATTTGAGGGTCATGTCAGCCATGATACGTGAGCTTGCGGCTGTTGGGCACAATTTGACTCAAAAGCAGCAAGTACAAGCTGTGATTCGCTCTCTACCAAATTCTTGGGAGCAAATGAAGCAGAACATGATGCATAATGAGAGTGTGAAAACATTCGAAGACATATCGCGTCATTTGAAGCTAGAGGCTGAGCTCCTTGAGGCGGCTAAGTCTGATGGTTCTGCTATGGTGGTTGAGTCGAGCTCACGTATGACTTCTCAGTTCAAACGTGGAAAAGCAAAAGGTCCCCCTAAGAAGCAAGCAGTAACTGCGCTAATACCCAATGGCGCTAGAAATTTCAAGCGTAAGGGCAAGAGAGGTGGCAAGAAGGTAAAGGCTAAACTGACATGCTTTAACTGTAACAAAGAAGGGCACTTCGCTCGGGATTGCCCTGAGCAGAAGAAGGTACTCCCTTACTTAATTTCTCGCATTCAATGCTTTGTGTCTAGTCAAACATTAATTGCTCATTCTCCTCATTTTTGGGTTGTAGACTCCGGAGCAACAGACCACATCGCGAGGGACAGAGTAGGGTTCGTTGAGTAACGCCGAGTACCTGCTGGGAGCAGAAAAGTTTACATGGGGAACGAGTCCAGTGTGGAGATGCTTGGCATTGACACATACAAGCTAGAAATGCGACGAGGGCGCACCTTGTATCTTCATGATGTTCTTTATGCTCCGGATATTCGGCGAAACTTAGTTTCAGTTATTAGCATGATGAGCCTTGGTTTTAGCTTTTGTTTTGAGAATAATGGTGTTAGCATTTATTTGGGAACAATTTTTTATGGTTTTGGTTATCTTTCAGATGGTTTTTTAGTTTTGGATGTGGATGATTCTAGTATTAATAAAAATGCCAATGGCTCTATTTCTAATATTGCATCTTTTTGTGATAATGATTCTATGAGATGGCATGCTAGATTAGGCCACATAGGGCAAGACAGGATGACTAGATTGGCTAGAGAAGGTCTTTTAGGCCCACTTGCTAGAGTCACTTTGCCTACTTGTGAGCACTGTCTTGCTGGAAAGGCAACAAGAAAACCATTTGGGAAAGCCATAAGGGCATCTATCCCATTGCAACTTATTCATTCTGATATATGTGGACCAATGAATGTGAGGGCAAGGCATGGAGCCCCCTATTTCATCACATTTATAGATGATTGCACACGTTTTGGTCATGTCTATCTGATTTCTCACAAGTCAGAAGCATTGGATTGCTTTAGACGGTATGTTAATGAGGTTGAGAATCAATTAGACAAGAGCATTAAAGCTCTAAGGACTGACCGAGGACGTGAGTATCTATCTGAGCAATTTAAAGTGCTCTGTGAGAAAAAAGGAGTTATCAGGCAATTGACAATTCCTAGGACTCCGCAACAAAATGGTGTAGCGGAGAGAAGGAATCGCACATTGCTTGACATGGTTAGATCAATGATGGCGCAAGCTAATCTTCCAATTTCTTATTGGGGAGATGCTTTGTTGACTGCTGCCTACGTCCCCTCCAAATCAGTTCCTTCCACAGTATCCGACATGGTTTTCAGGATTTCGATCCGGATTGTAAGATCTATTCCATCTGAGATTCTAGTTGGGCTAAACAATTTGGATCGCACTAGGATCTTAAATTCAGTAAGATCTCCTAATCATAAAATCATGTAGAATCACACTACGATCCCAATCCAACTAATTTTTTTATTATTATTTGTTTTTTATATATGTATGTATATGTGTATATTTATATAAGAAATTTGACTATAAACTATTTCTCCAAACATCTCCTTTAATTTATATTAACATAAATAATGCATTATATCAAATTTATCATTTTTCTTTAATTATTTTTAAATTATTTAATAATTTTCTTGTTTTATTTTATATTAAAAGTAGAATCTTACGATCCTCAATCCAATCCACAAGTCCCTCCCAACAATCGATCCTACCTAGGATCCTGGTTTTAACAACCTTGGTATCCAACACTATAAAGTTAAAAAGAATTACTTTCAAATTCTCGATACATTTAACAAGTATCATGTAGTCTAGTGTCGTCAAGTAACAAAGGAGTATCAGTATCTTATGAGTACAATACAAGCACAACTACATATACCCTCAAAAAAAAAAAAACGGACACAAAAAAAAAAAAGGAAGAAAAAGAAGAGAAGAAAAGAACAAATAGATACCACTCAATCTCTCTCTCTCTCTCTCGTAGTACTAACTTAGACACACTAACCAAAAACCCTGGTTTGAGTTCTGACTTGTGGCAAATGATGCTTAACAGAAGCAAATGTTTTTACATTATTTCCCTACCTCAATTATTACATTTACTTTATTTTGAAAATTGATTTTAGTTGAAATTTGTTGGATAAGGGCAAGTTCGTCATATTAAAACTTTAAAACAATGATGTTATCATTTTCAATCTAGTGTTTTAACAGATAGTTAACGAACAAGTGTTGCATATACTGTCTAGTAAAAACATGAAGGGGTGTCCTTGAAATTATCAAAAGGTGTATTAGTGTAATTTACCGTACTAGTTTTTACAATTTTAACAGCAAAATTCATGATTATAGGACCTACTTGTTCCCAAATCAAAACCAAACTCCACTTGGTACTTCAAATTTCAAAGAAAACTAAACCTAAATTATAATAAATTCAAGTGATACAAGAGATTTGGAAAAGAAAAGAAAATAATCTATGAAGCATGGACATAAAAATGAAGTACAGTTTTGATATCATATCGACACAAATATGAAGTACAGTAACGATATGATATAGACACAAAATGAAGTACAATTATGAAATAATCTTAAAAAGTAGGATACGAATATGTCAAGGATACAGAGGCAGATATGTTAATGCTAGGACTAGCATTGGTTGGCAATTTCATTCCTATATACTGTGCACCTTAGATAGAAACCAAGCCACTGCCATTTAGAGATAGCACATTGGACAAGCCTTAGAGCTTTGAAAACATGGGAACCATGGGAGAGCTTCATCAGCATGAAAGATGCTACCGGAGAACTTCATCAACACTAAGATTGCTTTGGACAAGATCGAGAATAGGAAGACCATGAAGAGTGACCACACTATGTTTTATTTCCTTTTAAATAAACAGTTGGTACCCAGTTATTTATTTTAATTTATTTAATTTATCCGCTTACGCTGTGACCACAGAATTATCCGAATTACATTATTTTTTATCTTGTTACGACGCTGAGCCTTTGGGTACCGGGTTTGGGTCGTAACAAAAATGGTATCAGAGCCATGGTTTTTTTTTTTAAATAATAATAATAATAATAATAATAGTAATAATAAATAATTAAATAAATATATATATATATATATATACAGTACAAGTTTTAAAATTTTATATAATTTTCACATTATTTACAATTATAAAAAAAAAAGAACATATATGTATTAAACTTGCATTATTTTGTATTATGTGGTATGTCTAACACAAATAAACCATGTTATCTATATGTCTAGGCTAAGTTTTCTTGTGTTGTAGGACATGGCGAACCTAATGGAGCTATTCTGGTACGAGCCCCCAGAAGCTCATCTCCTTTCGAACCAATTAGAGGGCTGGAGTGACTCAGAGAGTCTTGTTAGGCAAGCCCATCCAACACTTGACCATCTCATGGAAAGATCCGTTTATTTACAGGCTGACCCCGATGAGGACTTATTATTCTGGAGACTTAGCCGAGGTAGCACTCGTGAAAGGTACATAGGACCGACCCACGTTGTTGGTCTTGCTCCGGACCTAGAACCACCACATTTTCTGGTCGCACCTCTACCCGTAGGCTTTGCAGAAAGGAGGGGACCCGCATATCCTAGTAGCCATATTCGCACCACGACACCACCTCCCCAGTACATTGCCTATATCCCAACTGTGGACTTTACTGACGGTGCATCATACCTGGAGACACCGATACGGATTACTGGATGGGAATTCCGGGGTTCTGATCACGGTACTCCTGTTTACATGGTTCAGGTAGTATGGGGCTGCTTCGGAGTTAAGCTTAGTGGGTGGGAGTTTGAGTCCATCATGCAAAGTGAGTTTCCGGGGTTGTTTCATGGACCAGTTTTCCGAAACCAGTTCTCCTGGTGGCCTAATAGACCATTCTAGATGTCTGACCAGAAAACCCTTTTTGTGAGCTGACCATGAGTAGTCTAATCTTTTTGTATTAGTAGGATTAGACATTAATTTGTGACCGCCAAACTAACGCCCTATGTATGGTAACAATGATGTATATGGTATTAATGAGGTAATATTAACATGATGGTAAAACTAATATGTTATATATGAAAGTGGTGATATTAATAGCAAAACTAATACGGTATACACGAATGTGGTGTTAATAGAACTAATATGTTATATATGACGTTATATCAAAATTGTCTCAATGTAATGTCACGCTTATATCATTTTGCCTTATAGTAATGGCCAACGAAGGAAATGAAACCGGATCATCAGTCAGCAGTACCATCCCAATAGAACAGATCATGGAAAGGGCAGTCACCAACTTTTTACAGGCCTTGCAAAGCAGCATAACCAATGGGACATTAGAAAGACGAAAAGAACCGACTTCCATTAAACAATTTCAGGATCTGAAACCCACCACGTTTATCGGTAGTCCAAACCCACTAGTAGTAGAGGCTTGGGTCAGGGACATGGAGAAAATCTTTCGCACACTACCTTGCACAGAAAGACAGAAGGTGACTTTTGCCACCTTCACCTTCAAGGACGATGCACAAGAATGGTGGCTCATTACCCTGGAAAAGGAAGATATTGTGACTTAGGCGAGATTTTTAGAAGTATTCTATGAAAAGTACTTTCCAGATTCACTACAGGAACAAAAAGCGTCAGAATTCATACATCTAAGGCAAGGAACCATGACAGTAGCCGAATATGAAAGTAAGTTCACACAGCTAGCCCGGTTCGCGACATATGTTATTCCCACCGAAGCTCGAAAAGCTAGGAAATTTGAAGCAGGGTTGGATCTTGAAATTAAGGACAGGCTGAAGGTTTTCAAACTACCAACCTATGCGGCGGTGGTAGATCGAGCATACATTGCGGAAAAAGGATTAAAGCCTTGCAATCTAGGGAGCCAAGTCAGAGGAAGCGATATTGGGAAAGAGATAACAGAAGGCCCGGCGTCACACCTCCCAAGAGAATAAATACGAGCACAACCAGTTCAACCGGTCCAAGCAATCAAAGCCCTGCAAACCCTAAAGGAGGCACCACTCCAGCTTGCTCTACCTGTGGACGAATTCATTGGGGACCATGCCGTCAAGATACGAGAACATGCTTTAGATGTGGCCAAGTTGGCCATTGGCTGAGAAATTGTCCAACGCTCGTCCGCCCCTTTGAACCAGTCTGAAAACCCGCAGTACTTGAAGGAGCGAGAAAGGACCAAAAACGCCAAGGAAGAGTTTTTGCCTTGGTGCCTAGAAACCCAGAAGTTACTGAAAATATTGTGTCAGGTACACTCTCTGTTTGTGGTCACTTAGCCCATGTTCTCTTTGACTCTGGTTCAACTCGTTCTTTTGTTACACCACACTTTGCTACCAAGTTGGCACCAACACCCGAGCCCTTAGGATACATACTATCTGTGTCTTTTCCCTCTGGAAATTCCGTCCTTAGTACTGATATATACAAATCTTGTACTGTATCCTTAAAAGGTGAAACCTTACATGTGGACTTGATACCCCTTGGCATTAGTACCTTTGATGTAATCTTAGAAATGGATTGGTTAACTGCTAATCGTGCCTCTATCGATTGTAAAGCCAAAAAGGTATTCCTCATGTCACCAAACCAACTCTAGCTTGTCTTCGAAGGAACTGGAGCCTCTCCCCCTCCCTGTATTATATCCTTCATAACAGCCCAACAACTGCTAAGAAAGGTTGTTGTGGTTGTATCTGTATGTGATTGATACTCAACAAGAGACCCCCACACTTGATGCGATCCCCTTAGTTCGAGAATTTCCGGATGTGTTTCCTGAAGACCTGTCTGGCACCTTAGTTGATCAGGAAATCGAGTTCACCATTGAAACCCAACCTGGTACACAACCAATCTCAAAGACCCCTTACCGCATGTCCATGGCAAAATTGAAAGAACTAAAAACTCAACTCCAAGAACTACTGAATAAAAGCTTTATCTGACCAAGTACCTCACCATGGGGAGCTCCGGTACTGTTCGTAAAAAAAAAGGATGGTACAATGAGGTTATGTATTGACTATCGAGAGCTAAATAAAGTCACCATCAAAAATCGGTACCCCCTGCCATGAATTGACGACTTGTTTGATCAACTGCAAGGCACCCAAGTGTTCTCAAAAATTGACTTGCGTTCTGGTTACCATTAACTAAAAGTCAAAACGGAAAGTATCGAAAAGACTGCCTTCAGAACCCGTTATGGGCACTACGAGTTCCTCGTCATGCCATTTGGCGTCACCAATGCTCCAGCGGCCTTTATGGACCTCATGAATCAAGTGTTCAAACCCTATATTGACGAGTTCGTCATTGTCTTCATTGACGACATTCTCATATACTCCAAATCGCCAGAAGATCATGAACACCACTTGCGAAAAGTTCTATAGACATTACGTGATCACAAACTTTATGCCAAGTTGAAGAAATGCGAATTCTAGATCACTAGTGTACACTTCCTCGGTTACCTCATTAACAAAGATGGCATTTCAATTGATCCCCAAAAGGTTGCAGCAATCGTGGATTGGCTACGACCTACTAACGTATCAAAAATGTGAAGCTTCTTGGGCCTAGCAGGCTACTACCGGCGCTTTGTGCAAGACTTCTCGAAGATAGCTTCACCATTGACCCAGCTAACTCAAAAGAACACACCCTTTGAATGGACGGACAAGCAGGAACGTTGCTTCCAAAAATTGAAGGATAGACTCGTGACGGCTCCAATACTAGCGCTCCCCGCAGAAGTAGAAGGGTTTATAATTTACAGCGATGCCTCATACAATGGTTTGGGTTGCGTTCTTATGCAAAACGGGAAGGTCATTGCTTATGCCTCTCGCCAACTAAAGACTCAAACTATCCAACTCGTGATCTAGAATTGGCTGCGGTGATCTTCGCCCTCAAAATCTAGCGTCATTATCTCTACGGAGCAGCCTGCGAAATCTACACTGATCACAAAAGTATCAAATATTTGTTTACACAGAAGGAATTGAATATGAGACAACGACGATGGCTAGAATTTATGAAGGACTACGATATAGAGATCCATCATCGTCCCGGCAAAACTAATGTAGTAGCAGACGCACTAAGTCAAAAAACGACCAAAAGTTTGGCGTGTACCCTCGTTCCCCGCAAGATCCATGGATTGCTCGCCAACATAATCGTGAAACCTGAGTTGATTGAAGAAATTAGAGCCCGCCAATGTGAAGATAAACTTTTGAAGAAAAAGTACAAGGAGTAAGGAAAAACGCCTGATCCTGACTTTACAATAAGCAATGGGATGCTAAAATTTCAAAATCGAATTTGTGTACCCGACCTTCCAGAACTCAAGGAGAAGATATTAGTAGAAGCTCATAGCTCGAGGGTTGCAATCCATCCTGGCAATGCGAAGATGTATCACGATCTGCGGGAACACTTCTGGTGGACAGGAATGAAGAAAGACATAGTAAACTATGTCTCCAAATGCCTGCGTTGTGAACAAGTTAAAGTAGAGCATCAGAGACCTGCAGGTATGTTGCAGCTACTCCCTATTCCCAAATGAAAATGGGAGCATGTTACTATGGATTTCGTGGTCGGGCTACCGCAATCAGTCTCAAAGAATGATGCAATATGGGTTATCGTAGATCGATTAACAAAGTCGGCACATTTTCTACCAATCAGAATCATGTACTCCCTCTCTAAATTCGCTACTCTCTACATTAAGGAAATCATTCGCATGCACGGCACCCCAGTTTCAATCGTATCCGATAAAGACCCCCGTTTCGTGTCTCATTTCTGGACCAAATTACAAGAAGCTTTGGGAACCACTCTAAGGTTTAGCACGGCTTACCACCCGCAAACTGATGGGCAATCTAAAAGGACGATCCAGACTTTGGAAGATATGTTACGTTTGTGCGTACTAGACCTCAAAGGTAACTGGCATGATCACCTCCCTTTAGTGGAGTTCGCATATAATAATAGCTACCATGCAAGTATTGGAATGGCACCACACGAGGCACTGTATGGAAGAAGATGTCGATCACCTTTGTGTTGGACGGAAGTCGGAGACAGAAAATTATTAGGCCCCGAGATCGTGCAAGTAATGAGTGATAAAATTCAACTCATCCAACAACGAATTCACACTGCCCAGAGCCGCTAGAAAAGCTATGCAGATACACGAAGACGAGACTTAGAATTTCAAATAGGAGATCATGTATTCCTTAAAATCTCACTGACAAGAGGGGTAATCCGATTTGGGAAAAGAGGAAAGTTAAGACCACGTTACATCGGCCCATTCGAGATACTCGAAAGGATTGGTCCTGTAGCATATCGTCTTGCGCTTCCACCCGAACTATCCAATGTCCATAATGTGTTTCACGTTTCGATACTTCGGCGATATCTTCGAGATCCAGAGCATGTTGTCGATCATGAGAACCTAGAAGTTCAAGAAGATCTCTCCTACGAAGAGCAATCTGTACAGATTCTCGTTCGCCGTAATTAGATCCTTCAAAATAAAACTATACCCCTCGTAAAGGTTTTATGGAGAAATTATCGTGTCGAAGAAGCAACGTGGGAAACTGAAAGCCAAATGCGAGCCAAATACCCACACCTCTTCGAAAATCAAGGTACGTCAAGTTTGGGGACAAACTTCTTTAATGGAGAGGAGAAATGTGACACCCAAATGTTTTAAATTTAACATTACGATAAAATAAATAAATAAATAATGATAATAATAATAATAAAATAATAATAAGTATATATATATATATACATGTAGTGACAATAATAATAATAAATAAATGCAAAATTTAGGAGATTGGGAATTTTATAGTTAAAGAAATATGTCGTGAAATATTACACATTAAATATTTTAGTAAGTGGTAAGTGGTGATTTATAGTTGGGTAGTGAGGTTTTTAGACATGAACCTAACTTATCATTATACGTAAGTTTTAGGAGTCATCTTGAATTACCAAAGAAAGTAATAACTTTTAAATTAGTAAAATGGTCAAAATAAGCCAATGGTCAAAGAAAAAAAAAGATAAAATCAAACAAGATTATAAATGAAGAGATAAGGGTGGACCAGAGACTTACACGCATCAATTTACGGAACTCTCCGTAGCTTGTTACCCAAGAATTTTTGTCCTATAAATAGAGAAGATTGGTATGTTAAGGCAACGGAAAAACAAATAAATAGAGAGTAGAAAAAGGACGGCACGGGTGAGAATCTTGAGTGGTGGAAAGGAAGAATAAAGAAATTAATTTAAGGTGAGTTATATTATACCTTGAGTTACCAAAAAGTATTTTACTTATGTTTTGACTTACCAAAATCTATTTTATACAATTTATGTTTTATTAATATATTAATAAAAGTTATGTTTTATAAAAGTTTCAGCTACGTGATTTTATTTTTGAACCCTATTTGCTTAAAAGTGAAACCCATGGATATGTTTGTTTTACTTTTAAAAAATATTTGGCTATGACCTTATATGAAAGTATGTTTTGTGAGTACCACCACGGGAGTTCCATGCCTTGGGGGACTTAAATAACCATTGGTTAGTGTTTGACCACTTTGTGGTCCAGTGTTTGTCATGGATCCATTGACCAGTGTAGTGATTGTCACTTAGTGATGTACCGTAGTTACAGTGATTATTTCAATTTCTGGCACTTAATTAATTTGTGTATTCAACTCAACTCAATTTATGTTAATGTTTTAGCTTAAATAAATATCCATGGCCATTTTGTGCCCCTACACTCATAGTATGATATTTCTCACTCTGCTATGCGCTTATAGCTGTTACCCCTTTCAGGTGACGAGGTTTAGCGGGATCAAAGATGGAAAATGAATCGCTATGTTATCTTGTTTTCTATCTTTTATTATTAGACTCTTGTAGTACAATGAAGTTCAAGTAACTATGTTTTAGTTC